TGGTGACGATTGTAGTTGTAATAAATATCCGGCTATACTATATTACTGGTGTCCTTATGACTGAATGGTGCGTATAAGTGTCGAGCGATCCTAGTGTACCACTCACTGCCTTGCGAGTTACCCATTCCCCGTTACAACCACTTCCCGTGTATTCAACCTGACGAACCATCCACCCATAACAACCCCTGATAGACAAAACCCGCATTTTTTACAGTTGCCTATAGTATATTGCGATTCTTAAATCGCGCATTGTATTTTCGTGCTTGTGTTGTGCGTGTAGTCGTGCTACAGGTAACGGTACTTTAACTCGTGGTGGTATCCGACTGATATCTTCTCACGTTGGCTATGCATTTTCCGATTGCTCTCACCTCTTTCTCCTGGCGAACCCGGATCACTATTCTCATCCATCTAGCATAATCTGCATCTCTGCGTGCTCACGACTCCTTCGTCCTGTCAGTATCCAAATCCACGGAGTCTACTAGTTACCAAAAACAAGCCAATAGTCCAAAGAAATAATCCCCTCAGAAACTAAGCTTAACGTTATGAATAAAGTATGCAATATGTGGTTGTACTAATGGAATTATCGGTACTAAACACACAAACATTCGATCCATTCAGTGAGCATTACTGTAACAATATTGATTTTGCTTTCCTCCTTAGCTTGTCGGGTGAGATATGTTTTTCATAAAACCACATCATATTATTACTTTTTTTTACTCAAGTCAACACTCACTATATTCGATACCCACAGAGGACATTATGTAAGGGAATGAGAACTGCAATGGAAGACTACATATGCATATGTGTAGGGCATGATTCGAAAATGTCACAACAAGATGGTAATTATTAAAGGTAAACTAAGCCATAAACGATACAGCACTCAATGAAGATACTAACTGCTAGATTTAAATTTCATCAACACGCCTCAGAGCCAGAGACGTTGATATTTGACCTGAATATGCAAGTCTTGTGAATCATATGGAATATATTTGTGCAAATGCTGATGGTACGGGATATTTTTCCTATGTAGTTGTAGTATAAAATACAAAAAAAAACAAACATAAACACACGATGTGATCTTAGCTTTTGGTTTTTTTTTTCTCACCAAACGTTTGCTGATGCTTTGTTCGAAGTCTCTACCATTGATTTATAACACGAACCTTCATACATGAATACATATATACATACATACACACGGAACTGACACTGACAGGAGTAAACTTTGGAAGACTACACACTTTCACATATTAAAATGAAAACATATTTTGTGACACATTTTTAAATTCGCAAGGACAATTAATTTGAATGTAGATTGTTAATATCTATATTTATTTGCTGAATAACTACAGTGATATAATTATTGGCAAAATCTAAGGTAGTGGGAATAATATAAATCAATAAATATGACCAATAAAGAGAGAGTAATTGACCGATGGTGTGATGACCACGTGCATAATTAACTTCAATGTTGAAGATTACCAGGTTGTCAACAACCTTTATTTCATGTTTTTGTCATATTACCTCGAACCCTGCAAATGGAAGTGTGCATGGAATCATGGGAAGAAACGGTGTGCATTGCCGTGTGATAACTGTCATAAAGGTGATTGACAGGTCATACTTGTTTACAACTCTGGAAAGACAGTTTGAATCTACCAGGTGTGTTTGTGATTTACATAACAAAGGGTGTTTACAACTTTCGAAGGAGAATTGGAATCTACCAGGTGTGTTGTTATTTGAATAACAAAGGATGTTTATGATCTACTGAGTTGCCTACGTGACACGGCTGCTAGCAATATCACATTCTGATTGGCTTATCAACTTGGTACCCTGTGTGTGCTACGATATTGTGTGACAAGTGATACAGGCTACAACCATCATTCTATGAGACTAGTATAAACTGCTCTGCGATCTCCTGCTTTCAGCGGTGCCCTCTAGAATAACAGCTTTCCTCTGCGTTCCTTCGTTGTTGTTTCAGAAGCCATTGACTGTCGTCCATTATTACCACCTGGAACTGTGAGTTATCACCAATGCACACTTCCCTAAGCAATCCCCTATTTCAGTGACTTAATTAATTGTATTTTTCTGTAATTATTTTGAGAGGTTTTAAAGCCAGGAATTTTAACTTGATATGTTGTTGTATGTGTATTCCATTTCCAGTATTATTGTCTTGTATATCCCATACTAGCAGTGAAAGAACCCCCTGTTCAGTGTGAGTTCTGTGGGTGCCCTCTCGTTAGCAATTAGCAGGCCTTACACTGTGACTATTATTGTCTTGTCTATCCCATACTAGCAGTGAAAGAACCCCCTGTTCAGTGTGAGTTCTGTGGGTGCCCTCTCGTTAGCAATTAGCAGGCCTTACACTGTGACTATTATTGTCTTGTCTATCCCATACTAGCAGTGAAAGAACCCCCTGTTCAGTGTGAGTTCTGTGGGTGCCCTCTCGTTAGCAATTAGCAGGCCTTACACTGTGACTATTATTGTCTTGTCTATCCCATACTAGCAGTGAAAGAACACCCTGTTCAGTGTGAGTTCTGTGGGTGCCCTCTCGTTAGCAATTAGCAGGCCTTACACTGTGACTATTATTGTCTTGTCTATCCCATACTAGCAGTGAAAGAACCCCCTGTTCAGTGTGAGTTCTGTGGGTGCCCTCTCGTTAGCAATTAGCAGGCCTTACACTGTGACTATTATTGTCTTGTCTATCCCATACTAGCAGTGAAAGAACCCCCTGTTCAGTGTGAGTTCTGTGGGTGCCCTCTCGTTAGCAATTAGCAGGCCTTACACTGTGACTATTATTGTCTTGTCTATCCCATACTAGCAGTGAAAGAACCCCCTGTTCAGTGTGAGTTCTGTGGGTGCCCTCTCGTTAGCAATTAGCAGGCCTTACACTGTGACACACAGGTTCTAGGTTACTTATTACAATATAGATGTCATTTAACCATACACATGATGTATATTGTACTAATGTCAATTTTATTACATTTATTATCAAGAAAGCATATTCTGGCTTTGAAGGAAAATGTGCATCTTTATTCCCAATAGGCTTCATGTATACTTTTATCAGTTTTAACAGGATATCATCCTCTGGCCTATTTTTCACGTCAGGTGTTATGTAATTACATTCCTTGGATAGGTGGTCAGAATATTTGAAATAATTGAAATGTTTAGTTGGTGCAAGAATTTAGAATGTATTCATTTAAGTTCCTATTTTAGTCGCTGCTTACATGTAGTCTTTTATTGATTTAGGGGATGTGTTGCGTTTTGATGTATGTTCTACCGTTCTGATCACACTTCTTAGCTATAACTTTCCCGAAATCTCGGCAGTATTGCAGTTAATACGTAGAATCCAATTTCATTTTCAGGAAATCGGCGACAGTGATTGGCGGGTACTTGTCACATGCGTCGACAGGAGTTATGAGATGTTTGCAGTTAGGATTTGCAAAAAACGCTATAGACTGCCTTGTTTTCCGTTTTTTGTCAACTGACGATGGTACCAACACCCGATGTCTCTGAAATAAACGCAAACAGCGCATTGTTTACGTTGAACTTAACACAAATATATACCCAGTGTTTAATGTAGTTAGTGCATAGTAGTAATATTGTGGTGTTGAATGTGGGCAGTGTACAGTAGTAATATTGAATATTGTGGTGTTAAATGTGGGCAGTGTACAGTAGTAATATTGAATATTGTGGTGTTGAATGTGGGCAGTGTACAGTAGTAATATTGAATATTGTGGTGTTGAATGTGGGCAGTGTACAGTAGTAATATTGCGGTGTTGGATGTGGGCAATGCAATGTACAGTATTACGTACGGTATTGAATGTGGTACATGTCTTTTTACAACGATGTTGTTGTTTTGTTAACATAATATGAATCTTAATCCACCGATGGCCATCCACGAAACTGTAATTTATTCGATAATTTAATTTAATCAATTGATTGATATTACAGGTAAAGTAAAACCTCAGTACTTACCGTGGATACAAGTTTGTCTGACGTCCATCGTTGCATCAGATCACCGATATTCACTATGATTGTGCCCTCTATGGGTGTGGCATCAACGAACTCACCAGAACTGGACATCACCTGTAATGATAGTACAGTGGTCTACGGTTACGATAGTCTGCAATTTAGGTTAGTTTACTTATTACTGTAATCTACGGATCTACTGTAGTCTTGGACTTGCGGTAATCCTTAGATTACAGTCGTCTGCAGATTAAACTAATCCACAAATTACGATTGTATCCAGATTACTATAATCCACGGGTTAATGCAATCAACAGATTACACTAGTCCATGAGTTTTACGGATAGTGATAGTCGAATTACGAATTACGGTAATCCACAAATTACGTTAATCCACAGATTTCAGTAGTCTACGAGTTATTGTAATCTACAGTTTAGTGTATGTTGATTTTAGAGTTTTACGGATTATGGTAGTCTGTTGATTACGGCGATTCACGGATTATCCGATTTTCTAATACAAAGCAAAATTATGTTTTCATTTGTCACGATATTCAAGAATAATGTCATTTTGAAGATATTATGTTACTAAACAGCACATGTATAATAAGGTATCAGATAAGGGCTAATGACGATCCAGTGAATTTCTAATATTTTCTCGATTCTAACATTTTGGTTTTTGACGCAATTTCAATTGATTTCAACGAATAAAATAAAATCGCAAACGACAATGTCACCAGTCAGTTCTGAATTGAGGCCCACTTTTTTATATTCAATTGATTAACACATGCTCGTTTCGTACATGACGTCATAGTACAGAACTAAAGCCATGCTAACTGATTTGTGGCCTTGCTAGTTGAAATGGTGACCGAAAAAAATGTTGACATTGAGTATATCAGCGCTTTTGTCAAACAGTGAACTTCAACAGAGAGATCAACAGTCAGTTGGCCGCTTAATATCCGAGCAAAAATGAATTTCTGAAAGATCGCATTGTAAATGAGGCTGTCTGTGAACAAATTTACGGGACTGAAACATTGTACGACCCAACGTCAACTCCGAAATATTATACAACTCAAAACTTTCAAGCATAGAAGTGCGATTTCGAGAAGGGGGTTTCAATTTTGAATAATAATGACAGTGAACAAAGTTTCAACAAATGGTGTGGCTGGAATATAGCCACGTGACGACCAAACGACCGGTTGTTTAATGAACGATTGATAAGCCGCTTGTATTCGTTTTTTTTTATGTCTATGCCAAGACTTCCACACGTTGCCTCAATTATATATAACATGCCAGAAAATAACCCAGACACCCCAACCTTATTCCAACAGTCGCAAATTGAATTGATTTTCGTTGTTCATTTTAAAATCCTATTTTCGAAAGGGCGATGTCGCCACCACAGGCAATACTTTGAGAACCACTTCTAAGCTTTAAATTGTTATCACTTATCGCCAATTCATAAACAGAAATTACGCCAAAAACCAAAATATTAGATTTTAGAAAATGTTATAAATTGACTTGGCCTTCATTAGCAGCATACCATCACTTCACATTCACACCTATATTCTCAGCTAAACAATGCACATTGGTTGACCTTAGTCACAATGGCCGTCGAGACGCAATAATTATGGTCGCCAACTTAACACATAATGACCGCCAAGATCTCTCAAAGCGAGAGGACTTTCAAACACTTGATATTTGTAACACAATTCATACACTTGAAAATCATAAAATGTATGCGTTGACATAAAATCATGAACTATGTTAGCGTCACTACAATTATTTTCATTTATTGTATTCGACGCATTTTTTTTACATAATGAGGACTGCTCCTTGCTCGCATCGCATCGCGCGCCCTCTGTTGTTGAATGTGGTAAGCATAAAATGATCTCTACCAAATGTATGCAGACACCCACAATGAAATAGAGAGAGAGCATTACCTGAAGACCGCCAACCTCGTCCTGGAACAATAAAGTCAGGGATCCGTAATCACTGTGTTCACCGCATCTAGTTTGACCGTTTTTGACTGGATGATCGCCCTCTAGTGCTGGGTAATACAAAGTTCTTAAAACCGAACGGTTATCTCCACCAATAATTCCATCGTGAGCTTTAAGAAAGATGCGAGGGTCCTTTGAAGATAATAATCACATTGTTGATATTGGTTTACGCATGCGCACATGTTTTAGACGTTATTGAGCATGTGCTCAATACGCTCACATAAATTTAAACATATAAAACAAAGAAAAGTTCATTAGAATTCTTTTGTAGTGACATTTATGATAGACAAACATCATGGTCAATTATATGTGATAGTGAAAAAGACATAAAAAAAGGTTGGCTGGCCCATTCTGAAGATTTTTCAATGGGCACGTCACCTAAGTATAAATCTATATTGTATTCTTGTTAATACCTCAAGCTCCAATCCACGACCAATTATTTCCAACAAACGCTGACTCAATTCTGCGCATGACTTGTAGAAATCCGACATTGTTGCTTTAAAATCTGCTACCACGTCCGTGTCACTGGTAAATGACTGAAAAAAGGAGATTGTGTTGGCAATGCACAGTAAATCAACATGTACATGTTTCAGTGTTTAATTTATTAATAATGGATAAACTAATAAACACCATACTTACATCAGGTTCAATGTTGTGCAGATAATTGAAACACTCCTTCAGGTCGCCATGGGGGACAACCGTGTCGCTTCTTCAAATCAATTCAAATGTAAAATAAGATTAATCGAAATTATTTTCTTATATTGAAACAAGAGTCATTGTCACCTCACACGTAATGAACACTTCCACTGATTATATGATCGTTATCAAAAAAAATCAGTTGGTTTGGCAAGAAATTTTGAACTATTGAAGCTAGGCTGCATTGGGGATCGCCTATTTGATAAAGATTTTTCATGAATACACAATCCAAAACCTTTTTGAAAATCACAGCGGTCAATGAGAATTTGTTCCCAGGTCACAGTAATATACATAGTACGAGAATAAAGTAATTAAGTGAATATCATGAGAAGACAAAGTGCTCATGCTTGAGTGAGTATACATGACTTACCTTTCGGCTTCCATTCGCACGTAACCATGCACGTAGCCATACTTACTAAGAGTAGCCATGTCATATTTCATCTTAATATCTTCTGGTAAGTCAAAAAACTTTTTGGAAGCTTCAAATGAGCGCTGAATCTAGAAAGTGAATTCACGTTAATGAGTTTTGTGTTGTGTCATTTAAAAGGCGGTGGCCGTCGCGCCACGCATGCGCGAGATATGGGACTCGTATGAACAAAGATGGCGACTTTGAATGTTGCGCGGTCCAACGAGGACAAATTGAGACGTTACTAAGCTTTAACTATGACATTTCCTTGGTGACTGGAATATGTTGAAGGAGTGACAAACAGTAATTAGGTCAAAACTCGTATTCGTGATTTCCATTACAGTGCATTGGATTGTGAGAAAATCAATGTTTATCAACACATGCGCGGCGTGACGACTGGCGCCCTTTAAATTAGTTGGAACTATTGGCTAATAACTTTGCCTTGTTTGGCTCACTGACGTTCATGCATTTATGGTCTGTATGGTATATATAGTACGAACAACCTTTTGAACAACATTATCCGGCTTCTATTTTGGCGCAAAATTTCGCCAATTTTATTATGTTGGTGTACATGTCATGCTATTGTTGAATTAAATAAACATAATTTGATATGTGATTGACAGGTGTGATTAATGCAACTAAGCAACACGTGATGCACTTAGGTTTGCTGCACTTCATGCACACAACAACGTAATCTATTGATGTATCACTGATATTCACTATATAACAAACGGACATTTCTAGACAGTGACACAATCTCTTAGAAATACAATTATTTTAATAAATCTTTACTGAAATACTTTGTCATCGTATTTTGCCATATTCAAGGAATATATATGGTTGTGCCGTTTTTGCCAACGAGTACCACATTGATGAGCGGACATGGAGATTTGTCACTAAAGACACCACACATTTTAAAATTGAACATGCGAATAAATTGCGATGAGGACCTGCGGATATCACCGTGCGTATCGTATTTTATTATTCAACGCTATTGTACATAATTGGTTATCCCTAATTGTCACAATTACTTGCTGGCTAAATACTTCCAAGCAACGAAACCATTTTTAAATTGATGCGTATTATGCCAAACGAGTCGCGGCGGTTGGGTGTTTGATATTTAATTTGCATTATTGTATACCCGTATGTGCTGACTGCGATTGCACACGGATTATCAGCTATTTTTATCACATGTTTGTGCAAATATAAACAATTCCTCTTTGTTTACAAGGCTTCGGTGACACTAAGGTCACGCACATTAGGATGTTATATACATAGACCGGTGTTCGTAATTTAAATTAAATTGTCCAAGAGTTAAGCTGTAGGTTGTAAATACTGATCCGAACATAAAATATGAACTATTTATTTCTCTGGGTCTCTACGGTTCTATGTCGTATATCGGCGTGAATAGACATGCAGCCGGGGAAAACAACCCACGAAACAAGAATATCATCGCTTTGAATTTGCAGTTTATTGTCGGTAAATATTTCTCCCTAATATGTCTCACCACATTAATTGACTTCATTCAGTGTATTGAGAGTTGTGTTACAGGTGTTTTTGAAGGTTGCAATGATGTGTCCAGCCATGCATGCCGTCGGAAAGAAGAACGTGTGTATTCATCAACAACTCACTGACCTCCCTCATAGAACACTAATCAATACGATACATGTTATCTACGCTTTGTTGAGGAATTAGTTCACGTGATATTCTTACTCGTTTCTTTGAAAACCCCAACCTCTGATTAGAATGCAGTACGTGTATGTACTGTATATTTCATTGTACGTGTATGTACTGTATATTTCATTGTACGTTTTCAAACGCTGCTCAGAAAAACGTACCCGCTGGTCTATTTTACAATTACCCACACGGGTGTACATCCGGGGGGGGGGCTACTTCCATAGAAGTGCAATACGGGTATGTGCCGCCCGACTGTGGTGTCATTTCACGTTATTTTGTTTAGAAGTGGGTGGCCATTTATCAATAGTTTGGTTTAGAAATGTGTAGCATTTATTTACTTTTTCACAGATCCTTATACTCAAAGCCAAATACTGGAAAAGACTGAATAAAATGCATTGCCCTGTTGCGCTCAATGGTTGCGAAAGTTGTGAGCTGGGTGTTTGTTTTTTTCGCTGAAAACGCTTGCGTTTAGAAGTGGGTATATAAATAGAAAAAATAATGGTTTAGAAGCGAGTATGGTTTTCGAGAGGTGGGCTTCACACCCTTACCCACTTAATGTAGAAGTATCCTCCAGGGGGTGTGCACAGATGTGCTAAAATAAATTTTCACTGATATACTTAAGCTAATTAGCAGTTTGGCTTTTGACGTTACATTATATAATATGTCTACCGATTTATAGATCGTGCTTTGAATTGCAACTTATCACCACAGTATACCAATGTTATAACAAACACAGTGAGACACACCTGAATCTTATCGATGCCATGATTCTTTAAATAAAGGAATCCCATGGTACGGAAAGCACGCTGTACTTCGTCGACGAGGTCCCGAACGTGTACATCGTTGGCTGGACCCCGGGCTGGACGCGGCTTGTCAAGACTGTACGCGCTGAAATCAACGACTGGCATCGCAATGATGTTGGATTCGGCCATCGTGTCGAGATTTGCAGTTACCTAGTTCGTAGCCCGCATCTATTGATTAGCAAATATTTATAGAGGTAGAGGCAGAGTGCAAAGGAGGGCAGTATTCCAATCTGATTAAAGCATTACAGATTTGTAAGCTTTTTTTCTGTTTGTGCTTGTTGTGGGAACCATTCGGGACACACGGTATTATTCTTGTAGTTGTAACATGAGTCTTTTGTTGTAGAGGATTCAATCGGTAGATACAATACATTATGTTGACATAAGTTGATTGCTACGTAACAACCTCATGGCTACGCCTGGAGATATATGATGTTGGACAACCACGGCTGACCAAGATCACAGACCGACGACCACCGAGAATCAAATCACTCCCGTCTTTCTTTTTTTTTATAGGGAAGGGACACGGGTCACGTGGTATTCGCAATGTACTAATATTGGCCAAGCAGACCCGCCTATATGTAAATATAACTGTAATTGGCGTACTGTGGGTATAGTAGTTGTACTGAGCGTCTGTTATAATTCACAATTAATACTAAACTAATAAAACAGACTATTGAATATTAGCTAATTTTTTTTGGTAACCTTTTCAAAATAAACAAGAATGACTGGACTTTGACGGTGGCCTGGTATATGGTTTGGGATCATTTGAGTGTATTCAAGGCGGGTAATATGGTAATTTTCCCAATATGGAGTGACCTCACTCCATAAAAACGGGTCCTTGCTCGGTAGTATACAAGGCTGGTAACAAAAGTAGGATTTATTGTACGGCGGGTATTTAATTTAATTGTATATATTTAATTTTTACTAAGAATTTGTATCATTATTACGTACATTCAATTTTCTATTACTTTAACTATTTCAACGAGATCCTTTCTGATTTATTTAGCAAACCAATCATAGACCTCCTTCTATAGCCCGTCTATATGTCATCGGTGAGAACATGTCACAAACAGACTTAAATAAAATGGCGGATTCTATCTATGCTAGCGGTGTTGTTAACTGTTGTGAAAACTCATTTGTAAAAACAAAATAGTAATGGTCTATGCAGGCCAATTTATTGAGTTGTACATGAATTAGTGGGAGAGTATAATGTACAGGAAAATTGCCGTAGAAAATTGTTACTCTGAAAAGTATGAGCATCTCGAAAAATATTGAGAAACTGACACTTTCTCGCTGCTGAGCTGCACTTGATAACATCTTCGCGAAATGCGGCGAGATTTCAACCGAGGTGACGGGGTGAAATTTTCAAATAAAATCTGTAAACGTAAAACACAGTTTTAATGTCGACAATCCAAACTGTCACCAATTTATTGGCTCGTCTCGAACATCGCACTGATATATGGCGAGATCATCAGAAGTCAGCGTAAATTGGCGGGACAATTTATCTATCCTATTAGACAAGACTTCAGCAATCAACCGCACATTTAGATTGCTGGGGCAATGACGATCTAGATGTCTGTGTTTTGTGCAACTAACAAGAACACGTCACGGTCAGAAACATTGAAAATAAACTGTCTATTGCAATAGTAAGTTACGGG